GATGAAATAAGATATTCAGACCTTGACTAAAAATTCCATAACCACGATATCCCGAAGAGATTCTTCACAGCTAGCTCGCGCATGCATATGTACGAACGACCTCATGCCATATGACAACTTTCGTCCAATGATTTTGCTCGAATCCACTAACTTATGCGCATGCGCAAGTTCAACGCCATGTTTAACACCAAGACTCGGAACATCAACCTGTAATTAAATATTTCGACACTGTTGGTGTTGAACGGACGTGAACGGACGTGAAATTAACACCAAGGGTGTTGTTTTTTTCTATTCCGTGCTGGTGTTAGAAATTTAACACCCTGGTTTTTGCAGTGTACCCAAATTAGTCACCCCAAAGTTTTTCGAAACTCTCTTCAATGGGTTTATACTAGAACAAGTTTGTTAATTGACCCTAAACGTTATCAAGTATTTTCCCCTGCTAATTCTTAAATGTGTCACCTTTATAAAGATAGTAGTTGAGAGTTATATATTACCAGTATATTCATGAATCTTCAAATAAATTACTTTTCATATAAACGTAATATATTATGAATAAATAGCTTTAGGATTTTACTGTAGAATGTGTTTCCAGATTATTGGAAGAGCAGATTGATTGTTAGTGATGTGTAATGTAATATGGCGCCATCTACCGTTTACTTGTCTCTATTTGGACCCCGACCTCATCCGGACAAAATGGAGAGTTTGTTGTGGATGATGCGGATGCATAAGGGATGAATGTTATTTTGACTGGAAAAAAAATGTCTTGAGGATTATGGTTTAAGATTTAATTAACTCGCATATCATGACGTATTGTCGTGTTTCCATCTGTTACTCAAATTTTCTGACGTCACACTTCTCGCAAATGTGATAAAGCCTTTCTGTAAAAGTCTGTCGACACATTTTTCCCGTCGAAATACATATTGTCCCAAGAGCATATTAAAAGCACTTACAGGTATAATGTCCGAAGAAAACACCGATACCCCTTATACAAAGGCTTCAGGTGGTATTTAAGGGTTTGATTTAAGTGTTTGGTATGGTTGCGATAATGAAATGCAAATTTCAAACCCTTTTTCATAGCTTATTATTGATGATAACAATAAAGGTAATGATTATAATGATAATAGTAAAAATAATTACAATTATGATACATATCAGTAGAATGTGAAAAGAAATCATAAAATACAAGAGCTCATAAAATAGGTTAATTGCATTACATTACTGGGGTAAGCGAAACAGCCACTGTAAAACGTTTTTCGGTAGATGATAAATATATAACCTTTTGAGTGAAAATACATATGAAATACAATCTTCTCCAGCAACATAATTTTATTATCTTACATGTAGGCCTACGCTTTATTTTGATTCCCGTTGTGCACGGAACTATGATATCATTTTCATATTTGTTTTGCTTTGTTTCAAAATGTGTTGAAAATATTATCATTGAAATGACTGAAAACTGCTAACTCGATGGCAACTACGTTCGAAAATCAACTCAAGGGAAACGTCAAAACCCTATTGTAGATCCCATCATGTCCGAATGACGTCATACGTCTATGTTATATTCGCACATTTCTAAAATCGATGGAGAGGGCAATGAAATTGCTTGAAGTTGAATTTTCGAAAGTAGCTTCGATCGTGTTTTATGTTGTTAGGCCATATTATTCCCCTTTTTATGATAAATTCCACTCTTAATGCTTTTAAGCTTCTTGCAAATTCCGTTGATATACGAGTGTTGTTCTTCTTTTTCTTCAAATAATGAGCTGTGCTAGCATATTGGTATATATGCTAGGGGGTGTTTTATAAAGCTGTTCGTAAAATTACGCATGACTTTACGAACGATATAAAAAGCCAAATGGGATGTGCTCAATCATTATTAACTGCATCAACTAAAGTTGAACTGTGCAGATGTAGATTAACATTCTTATTATAACAAACATCTTTAATGCAAAGTATATTTTTTGCCATAATTTAATTGAGGTTATTGGAAATATTAAAAAAAAACTTCGGGCATCCTATCTGGCGCTTCATATACAAGTCGTTCGTAAAGTCATGCGTAACTTTACGAACAGCTTTATGAAACACCCCCAGGTCTCTTAAAAGTTTATTGTCCTTCCAATTATTCTGAGCTGCTTTTATCTAAGTTAGGTTAATGCTAGTGAAAGTTTAGTCGAGTGACCTGAAGGTTTGTTTTTTGTTTATCTTTCTCTTATAACGATCGATTTCGTTTGATGGGAGCCAGTTTTCCTGGTCGAGATATCATGTAAATGTGAGAACGGAAAAAATACCCAAATGTAGGTTACTCGGTGAAGACTGAAGAACCCGCTAAGGGCAGTCATGCCAATTTTCAGAGGCTGAAAAGGGAATAAATGATAGTTTAGAGACTAAATAAATGAAGGGAAAAATATATTCCTTTAAACCGATTCTATTGATTGCAACGGATATATATTGCGAATTTAAGCGTTTTTCACATGTTTGTATTGGAAAAAACATCAATTAGAAAGTGGAGCGGTGGTATACTTTATAGGAGCCCCTATAATTTTAGGAGGTTTATACATTTTCTAAGTTTGGTATTTGAATATAGGATATGATATAGGACTCTATGTTTCTCGCATTCAATGGTTTAATAAAACACAACAGGAAAAAGGCCCTGGGAATGCATAATGGCAACCAATGTAATAACTGATATTCAAATGATTAAGAGAAATAATGACATGTTCTATATACATCCGCAAAAAATAAGAGAAAATAAACCGGTTTTAGATGCGAGCAACATTTTTTGTTTAAATCTTAGATTTTTAACAGTTACTTTTAAATCCGTAATTTACTTGCAGTAATCATGCAGCATTTAATAAACGGTAACTGTACTTATTTAGCTGCCGTTGTGTCGTTTTTATCTAAATTGGGACTGTATATACGAAAGGACCGTGTGATTTTTCCGGTTAAAATACTGGACGCAGTTTGTCTTTCTCAGAAAATGATTCATTTGACGAGTTTGCTAAATCACAGTACTTTCTGACGTATAACCCAGATAAAACCAAAGGAAGAACAGTAGTGTTCTATAAACACTACTGAATTGGGCTATCCGCCGATTTTTGTCTATGTACATGTATAAATATTTTATTTTGTATTTTTTACTATGTATAACATTTTTTTTAATCTGATTTCGGAAATAAAACAACAACAACAACAACAACAACAACAAAGATATATCGGATTTCAACAAGTTTGCTTTCAGTTTACAATCGTTCATCAATTTGTCAAAACTCTGTTGAACTGATGCATAAATACCATTATTAAATTACTTCCGTATCCGGACACCTACCCCCTGGACAACCACCCCCGGATAACCACCCCTAGGATAACAATCCTCTAGGACGACTACCCCCTAGGACAACTACCCCACGGACAACTACCCCCTAGATAAATACCCCACCCCCCCCCCCCCCCCAGGACTGCCCCCTAGGACAACCACCCCCGGACAACTACCCCCTGACAACTAACCCCCAGACAACTACCCTCTCGGATAACCACCCTCTCGGACAACGACCCTCTAAGACAACTTCCCGCCGGAAAACTACCACCGGAAAACTACCACCCACACAACTACCCCTAGGATAACCGACAAGTACCCCCTAGGGCAACCGCCCTCTAGGACATATACCTCCTTGCCATCTACCACCCATAGTATCTACCATCCAACTATCCCAGGAAAATAACCAGTTAGGGTGATTATCAATTGGGGGGGGGGGGGTAGTTGTCCTAGAGGGTGGTTGTCCTAAGGGTAGTTGTCTGGAGGTAATTGTCCGGGGTAGTTGTCTTAGAGCGTGGTTGTCCTAAGGGGTAGATGTCTGGGGGTAGTTGTCCGGAGGGGTACATGTAATTGTCCCGGGGGTAGTCGTCCTGGAGGGTGGTTAACCTAGGAGTGATTATCCGGAGGGTGGTTGTCCAGGGGGAAGGTGTCCTAGAACCCGTTACTTCTGGAACTGGGTTGCTCCTCTGGGAACTACAGATTCAGTGGTCAATGGGTTGACGAAAATTAGAATCCATTATTTATATGATGTAATGCTTATTTTTGATTTTATCAAAAATCACACATACCCATTATTTTCTCTCCCCTCTCCTATCTCTTAATGGTCTTTCCCAATCTTTATTCATCTCCCTCTATCCAAGTACTACCCCCCCCCCCCTTCTTCTTTTTCTCTCTCTCTCTCTCTCTCTCTCCCTCCCTTCTCTCTCTCTCTCTCTCTCACTCTCTCTGTCTCTCCCTTTCTCCCTCACTCTTTATCTCCTTTTCTCCTTCCCTCCCTCTCTTTCTATCTTTCTCTCTCTCTCTCTCTTACTCTTTCTTTCTATTTCTCTTTTCTCTCTCTCTCTCTCTCTCTCTCTCTCTCTCTCTCTCTCACTCTATCACCCGCTCTTCATTTTAGCTCCTACCCGCTATTTGTTTTACATGGACATACATTGCCAGTATATCAATATCTCATTTTAGTGTTTTTATTTTAAATCAACAGTAATACAGACAAATTATCTAATGATCAATATATATACATATTTTTTTTTAAATGGTCCAGCCATTCTCTATCTGTGTACATTTAGGACAATAATTCATAAAAACGATCGATACATTTTGTACATTTTGTACACATTTTAAAATTCATTGATAGCTCCTGTATTCCAGACCAATCCATGTTTTTTTCTCTTATAACCCATGACAAAAATGTGTCTAAACGTTTAATTAACATACATTTTACATATTACCAAACAATTAGCAAATGTATTCGTAGCGTGCAGTAGGCAGCCCCCCTCCCCCACCACATTTGAAACTCGGAAGCCCGAAAGAAAAACAATAATAATTGCAGTTGGTCCGTGACATGTTGCCTTTTCCTTGGTAAAACAATGTCACGCCGCCAGTAGTAATTTCATCTTATTCTACCCCCACCCCCTCCCCTCCTAATTATACAATCATTTGTCTGGGTATACATGATACAACCTACAATCACCATCTAAAAAGTACTTTTTCAAAATGTTAGATTATTTCTTTTAACATGTTATATTCAACCTTGAGATCGTTGGATTCCAATATGTTCAAATTGTTTATCCGCCACTCTAAACAAAGTGGCCAACCCTCAGTCCTTTCAAATGGTGATTTAACATTCTATAAATTTGAGAGTGTAAGTGATTTAATATAATGGGCGTCGACATTGGTAATTTCGTATTACGCCCCCCCCCCCTCCCCTCCACATTTTACATACACTTTCTGGATATGCCGCTGTGTATACATATAATAATAATAACTAGTTCTTATATAGCACTTTTCCGGACGGAAGGTCCTATCAAAGCGCTTTACAGATATATATTATTATGTTGCATTTTCAAAAGACTACCTTCATGACCATTTGCGCAACCATAATCGAGTAAAATTTAAATAAGATGTCAGTGTACAACACGGCCTGTCTTCTTAATAGTTCAGGTCAATTATGACCCAAACCGAAAGTACAATCTAATCATGATTAGATAACACTGATATCAATATCCTGATAAGCAACTGTTTAGAATGTGCTCCGGATATCTGGATAAAGGAAACCGATATCGGCTCATGATCAGCATGAGTGAAGTGAGCTGATCAGACAATTCCTCCTGAAAACAATGTCATATTATTTGTAAGAACTAGCTATGCCTGTGTATGGAAAATGGTATTGAGAATAAAGGCTCGTTCAGATTAGACGCGGTAAAATCACAGGAAAAAAGCCTAACAAAAAACCTAAAAAGGCCGTGGCGGTTTTGTAAATTATTGACAACCAAGGTAGTGTGCCAATTCACTGAGCTCTGTGTTATAATAATTATGCAGAAATGTGGCGTGTATTACACTTTACGTCATCATCGAAAAACCTTCGCGTAATGTCTGAACAAGCCTTTAGATTGTATAGTTAACACAGTTTATTCTTTATACTAGGATGGGTACCCAAAACATGGTTTAACAGTTCCGGTCCTCGAGGTTTCAAGAAGTACTTGTCGCCATCAAGAGAGCGATAGAATTATTTTAAAAAACGTTGACAAATATGTTGAAAATAAAAACCTTTATGCAGGGAAATGTGCAGACAAATAAAATGTTATCTGTATCATCCATTATGCAATCAGCACTGAAAAAGGAATTAATTAATAACTACTTCAACTTTAAAGTTACTCGTTGTGTTATGCTCTGACTAGATAGTGATCATATCAGAAAAATATACCCTCTCTAAAAACCATTTGAACAAAATAAAAAACAGACCTTGGCGTTTTGGCTCTTTATGACAAACAAATCGAATGGACCAGCCATTGATATTGAGTCCGATACACATTTAAGTACAAATATTTTAGAATCATTACTTTTGTTCTCTAATAAGTTGTCCTGAAATGACTAAACAGTCTTTTCCTTTTGCCTTATTTTGGAGGCAAATTAGAACCCATGAACGTATATTCGCGTTTTTCGGCATCGGGAGGGACGTCATACAACTCATCCGGCGTGGAATTAGCAGGCGGTAGTTCATACACGTAACCATAGTCCTCGTGGTGTTCATCGTCATCAACGTGGTGGTCATCGTCGTGATCAGTCACGGGGTGATCGTACGGGCTGTATTCTTCCCCGCTCAGCCTCGCGCCTTGCTGAAGTAAGTCATCGGAGTAAGCCTCGTCGTAGTGGCGCAGACTGAGGTATCGGCTATCAGGACGATCAGGGTTCAAACCACAGTACTGGTTATTCTGAGGCGGGACTCTCCCCTGTGGATTGGACCGACGTTGATCAGCTGGGACTCTTGGAGGGGGCTTGTTTGGTGGTGGAGAGGTAACAACGACAGGTGGGCGTGGTGGGGTACTGGTAGGCGGCGGAGGACGCCTATGTTCTTCCTCTGCCTCGACAAAAGGCACCTCATCGTATCCGTATGGGGACTCCGAAATGTTAGACGGTGACGTAGGGGGCTCTGTCCGATGCGGTAGACGGCCCTGGGGTTGCTGAATACCTTGATCTAGATCTGTAGGATTGCTGTATAATGGCGAGGGAGGGGACGTTAGAGAAGGACGCCCTCTTTCTGGTCGCTCTGGAGGAGTTGTTAAAGGGATACCGACTTCACCTAGATAAATGTCGGTATGGGGAGTTGTTGGTCCTTGCGAGTAGACCCCTTCACCCATGCTATCAAACGACGAGTCAGTTATGCTATTGTAAAACACCTTTGGTGCACCGGTTTCTGGATCAATGTCGCTACGATCTGGAATACTCACGCCACCAACATAAATGTTCTCTTCCATATCTGTAGCTTTCGTCCTAGCTGGTTGGGGATTTATCACGTTCATGTCTCTCATAACAGACGTAGAGCGACGTCTTGCTTTTCTCTCTGTCATCATTCTGTTTACACATCTGTGAATTACGTACACTATGATGACAATCAAGACCTGTCCGATGATGACAGCGATGACTATTATAGCAATGACGACAGGGGAGGTTTTACCAGCTTGACCTTCCATGGTGTCGTTATTGAAATCCGTTGCATTTATGGTTGTTGGTTCAACCGTAAATGTACCAAAGTCTTCGACTCGGAGTAAAGCGCCTGAAGTTCCTGACAATCCCTGCGTTGTAGTCGCAGTACAGTGGACCGGGCTTTCGTCATCTTCCAGTTTAATGTCATTAATTATCAGAGTTCTACCATCCAGGCTTACTTCCAATCGTTGGATGTCATCTACGGGCTTGTTGTTAAATAACCATTCGTATCGGACGATTTCGGGTAGGCCGAACGCGATGCAGGTAAAAACGATACGTCCTCCAACCTCTGCGATGCCGAGAGGAGGCTCGACACGAACATCAGGACGAATCGACAAAAGAGTGACGCTACAAAAACGCGGTTCGTCGATTGCAGGAGACTCGGCGTCGCAAATAAACTCTTGTCCATTATGTTCGGCGCTTACAACGACCGACAGAACGTTACGCGATTCTTTCAGCTCCGTTAGGACAGTTTCTTCTAACCTCCAGGCTAGCGACGCCGGCGGTTGGCCGCCTTCAGATCTACATGTTATCGTCGCTACATCACCAACGTTTAGACCGTTTGGAGAAACGCTACACATCGGCGAACCTTCATTAGGTGGTCGCTGCACTTCAAGAACGGCACCAGCAAACGTAAATGACAAGTTTGGGACCGCATAACCGCATCGGTAGGTACCAGCATCAGCCAGCTCGACGTTACGAATCTGCAAAAAGTACTCACCAAGGTTGGCATTACCAAGGATAGAGAGGCGGTTTCCCTGCGGTACGTTCGAATTGACCATCCGGTTAACCGTTATAAACCGCCGCGTTGATAGGCGAAACCAGTAGACATTCTGGTTGCTTTGGAGATTCCTGATGATGCAACGAAAAAGAACGTTCCTCCCCTCTCGAACAGTCAGGTCCCGTGGTCTTTCAACAATGTTCTGAGAAAATCCAACGTTGAAGAAACAAATGCAGAGTATTAATAATGCCGTCGTAATCATATGGGTAGCCATACTAACTCGTGAAGTCATTAAAATGAAAGTCCAAAATGTGAGAGTGGATCTGTTGCTGCAAGGCTTATACTAGGTGTGTCTGCACTCCATCGCACACTTTTCTCGTCTGTGCATTAGCCCTGAACGAAAGTGTTGTTATATAAGCTAATTTCTCTGTAATATCTACTGACGTTCTATCAATAGGCTTACGTCATATTCAAATGACAGCTTCAGAAATAAAATGGCTAGGTTAATGATAACGCGATGTCATTGTTAGCGTCTACCCACTTCCTATATCCGACTCCTTTCCGGAGTCTATACTCTACGTGTGGGTTTAGACTAATATGGTTTATACGTATACAAATAAGGATATTACCTTTTCTTCTGCAGTGCATTGATTAGGCACACTGTATTTGTTCTCAGAAAGTAAGAGCAGCGCTCATTAAACCCACGATGCACTTTTATTGGTAGGGCTCCCAAACGTTTTGGGGATATCCCCAAAATGGTGCTAACATCATTTTTATTTTTCAATCAGCAAAGTTGTAGATTGATAAAGAATAAAATATATAATTAACATTTCGATTGGTTATCTTGCACTGAAATGAGATCATGTTATTATGTTATTAATTGAACTTGGCATATGACTCTTTTTTAATAATGCCCCCAAATGTTAGAAGATTTTAATTGTTTCATATTCAAGTTTAAGGGAAGAATTCCATGCAAACATTTTCTGTCACACACATTATATCGTGACTCCTCTCAACACCTGTTCACCTTTTTTCTGCATAACACAAACATTTTGTAAAATATGAATGATTCACCAACCCGTGTCCTGGTGTACGTCAACCACATTATAATGGTTCAGCATGATTCAAACATTAATAACATTATGTTGGTCAAAGTTTATCTTATTTTCTCACCTATATAAAATATCATACCATAAATATGATAAACATGATTTTGTTTTTCTTCAATTTTGCTAACTGCAGTTGTCATTTATTCCATATACACTTTTTTCAATTTAGTTAATATTTACTTATGTAAATATATATACTTTCTTATGTTTAAATGTAGGTTATTTAAATATTAAATTCCTCCCCTATCTTAAAGGGAAGGTTGAGTTCTGGGAAGAGGTGACCAATAATTTGTGAGCGTTATCATTGTATTATGCAAGTGTGGAAGAACATCAGATAATAAATGTTCCCTGAAAAGCATTTCTCTTCGAATGCCTTAATATTCGTAATATGGCATGTAACAACCTAAAAATCGGGACGGATTTTTATGCCACATGTTCGGGTAGCCCCATAACCATCTTTCTGTGTACAGTGCTTGTAACTTTACCAAGACTAAGCCAAATTTCTTATCATTTTGATGATTCCAGAACCTTGCAGTACACCATAATACTTATATACTAGATATGATCAAACTTTTCTGATCGATTCCACAACGTTTCTTTAACAATGCAATCGCATGACCATAACTCAACTATGTCTTTTAAATGTGCTAGTCGTCAAACTATATTATATATGAAAGCAAGGTGAAACATAGTAAATTAGAAAAGCAACACACACACACACAAACACTTTTCAATAGAATAGTCAGAATCATGCGCATCACAGAATGTACCGTTAGTGCAAAAATGAAAAACGATTACGTAACTTTCATAAACACGTATCCAGTATACGTCTCGGTGGGTTTTACAATTTTGTACAAATGATCTCGATCTGTCGATGCACATATAGTATCTGCATACTGCCTTGGATTGCAATCAACATTTTCTGCCTATAACGGCAGTTACGTCACGGAACCACATTCTGAAATTTAAGATTGTGTATAATTCGAGATGCATTTACCATGGTATTGCCATAGAAACCAAACGATGAAGTTCAAAGTTTCATAGTTTCGGCAGTGATTTTGCGATTTGAGGCCCGTCTGTAAAAACATTTGAGGAGAAGGCGACGTAAACGCACCCACGCATATTTTGATTTGTCTTAACTAGGCCATGGACAATATATCCGTAAATAGGTTTCGAGAGTCATTGGGTCTCTTCTTATATCGTCTCCTTCAAAGATCAAGACCAAGACTTAAAACAAATCGTCATTCTGTCTGGTATGAACCTTACGAATTCCTTGAAAACTAAATAGTGATTTGAATCATTTTTTTTGTTTCAGTTCGAATGGTTCTTCCCCACATTGAGTGAGCTAGCGATTCAACCAAAACCCGATAACAAACAGGTATTGTAAACAAAATATGTGCTATATTAATATAATTCCTTGTTTTTCATAAATATGATATAACATTCTTTCAAATAACACATTGACGACTTGAATCCATACAAGTTTCACCGAGTAACATTGTTTTGCAAATGACATGTCAAAATTCATTCGTGCCAGATTGGAGTGAAATAGTGAACATGGTTGAAAACGTTAGTATCACAACTCTAATATGACCAAACATATGACCTGAGGAAACCTTATCTTTAAAAGCGAAAGGGAATGTTGTTTTCATGTGCTTCTTTTTAAAATGAGGGCAAGATTATTGCCATCATCATCAATTAAAGAATATTTGGTGTCGATAGTGAGGTAAGAAGGGACATACTTCGTACTTAATGCGGTACTGCATTACTTGTAGATACGTGCGCCCTCTATATAACAATCAATGCTTTAGCGGTACCCGTTGGTCCCCCTGATCCCTTTTTCTTATGTTAATTGAGAACTGATTTGATGAGATAACCATCTATCAATTACCATGCAGGTAGGTTTAATCCCTCTTGGCCAAACTAGTGCAGACAGGCTTGAAATGGTCTGCAATTAGTATAATCAGCTATTTTCATAAGTACAACTTTTTAAAAGAGCAAAGCAGACATACCGGTGATATTTCCACAAGAGTCGAAGTAAGGGGCACTTAACATTTTGATAATGGGGATGGTCCAATGGGCACGAAGGATAGAAACAAATCAGAATATTCAATTTTTCTCTCAGGATAGGTACCGCTTTCAATGAATAACAAGGTATTTTCTCGATTTTTTTCAATGAATATTTATTAGATTTGGGAAAGCCTGAGAGATTGTACACCCCTGTAATCCCGAAAATGGATATTCACCCCAATCTTAGTAACTGCATATTGAAATCATCGCAGAATACAAATCTTGCATAATAATGTTTTAAGCTTACCTTTGCCTGTTTTATGTTTGCATGTGAAACTTCCTTTTTTTTTTTTTTTTTTACTGTGTTACTTAAATCTGGAACAAAAGCTTTTGACGTGCCATTTCGAAAATTATGTTTCTTGGTGAAGCATGTATGGATTGGTACAATCATAGTATCAGTCGAAAGCATATTACTTCTACTTTATGAAAAGCAAAACAACAAAAATATTATACAGGTCATAGTTTCCTCACAATTGCCTTTTGGTTTAGGGTTTCGTTTTTATTATCTGTAGGATGTACTGTTTATTTTACCTTAGCACAAAGAAAGCAAGCACTTCCCTCGAATGCAGGGGCAGATTCCTGGTCGTCCATGAGGGGAGGGTGATGTGTAATGACAGAGCACATTCATGGCGAACATCACCAACTTGGGACATAATATTAGCGTCCTAAGATCTTTTCACACCGTTTTCACCTATATAGGCCGAAAATAAGTTTACAAATTTCTTTGATCTGAAAGGCTATCTGCACTAGTTTGGCCAAGAGGGATCAAAACTCCCTTCGTGGGCGTGACATGTGGTTATCTCATCAAATCAGTTCTTAATTAACATAAGAAAAGAGAAATCATGGGGGACCAACGGGTACCGCTTTATAAATAGGCATTGTTTGCTATACATGTATAGAGGGCGCAAGTAGTGCAGTCCCGCATAATACAATGATTTCATGAACCCCCCCCCCCCCAATCGGAAGATCACTCCAGGACAACTTGACAACTCTCTCCTCTGACTGTTTCCAGACAACAAATCTTTAATTCAGTTAGCCTCAAAGTAGTTGTCCGGTGATAATTTTCCTAGGTGATAATTATTTCCGGGGGATTTGTCCTTGGGTAAGTTGTGAGGTTTTTTTCTTTTCTTCTTTTTCTTCTTTTAGATGATTTTTCACAATTCTATGAATTCTATTTCTTATTCTATTCCAAGTAAAAAAGTTCATTCTGTTCACCAGCTCCGAATCACTCTGAGTTATTCATATGAATATAAAAATACTTTGTATTTCTGAGGAATGGTCAATATACCTAACTGTAGGAGATTGTTTAATTGGGGTTGACTTCTTAACAACCCAGTGGAACACTTTTAGACAGAATTTAAGGTTCTGACAGCCATTACATAACACTTTCTTCCTTAAATAACGTTGGAGACTGATTTCTCTACTGGTAGATTATTATGCCTTTCCGTCTTGGAAGTATTCCTGCGGCAGCCAAATCTATTCCGGAAAATTACCTTTTCCGGACAGTTCCAAATGTCTATTATATTGAAGTGTTAAGAGTTTTATTTCTAATAGCTATATATTTCAAATGGCGATATAATTGTTTTCTTGTAGTTCACGGTTACTGTAGTTTTTTTAACTATATTTGCAACCTGTGGTCTTCATAGTCATGATTTAATAAAGTCCATATTCTGGACTAATGCACGTAATTTTCATCTTTCGCTTTCCATTTTCCACATTTTTTTCAATACAAATATTATAGAGCCTTCTCTATTGGTGTTCACACAAAATATTTGTGTCTATTTGTGTTTAACCAAACAATTTGAAAGGACCTGTCCTGCACTAATAATGAATTTAACCCATGCAATTACCCTTTTTTGGGATATTTCTCTCTCACTCATTATTTTCTCACTTAATTTAATAAATTAATAATGAAAGTTGCCCGCCACAATGACCGCAATACCAAGTTGCAAGTGAAATGGCCAAATGATTTGACCCGACGGTCACAAAGAAAATCCATTGACTATAGTTGAAGGGGTTACTCTCTCAGTTGGATTTTGTTCTCGGTGGTTATAGCCCCCGTTGCGTCGAAATATAGACAGGCGAGACACCGTCAACACTGATCTTTGACACCGCAGCATGTCACGATGAAAATATTCCATATTTGGAGCAAAATGTTGGATGCGGCACAGCTGGAAGTAGATGAAGTCACTAGGAAACTATGTACGCCTCCCAGCAAGAGTTCGTTTATGTTTATGAAACTTGACTATTAAATGAAATCGTTTTCATATGTAATAAGCTGATG